ATAATCTGCGCCGAGTCCTCTCTCATGTGCCTCAAAACCACAGAAAGTGGCACTTTTTTTTTTTCTCTTTATCTCCCCTTGAATTCAGAAACATAATACACCGTGAGCACCAATAATTGATGTATGTTATAATTCTTCATTACCCTATCAGTAGTCTGGGAAAATTGGAAGAAAAGAAAATGCCAGAAAGTTATGGTAAAACTTAAGATGCGACAGAAGTAGCTTTCTTTGCTCATGCTGTGAGTGTTTGAATAAGAAGAATGTCCCTGCACTGTAACAAGCTAAAAGAATGAGGAAGACAAAGGATTTCACGAAAAAGGTTTAGATAGAAGACAAGGCAAGTGAAACTGAAAGGAAGGAAAAAAAGCCATTTACAATGGAACAATGCATGTACTAATCGCTTTGATATATTATACAAACCCAAAGACCCAAAACATTGTGTAATTATTTATAAATGACTTCTCCACTCCTGTGTATAATACCACAGAAAGAATAAAACTGCAGGCTACTCTCTAAACTATTTCTAAATAGACCTAGCTCAAAAGGAAGCAGAAGTGTTTGAAAAAAAATAATTAATGGTTGATTTTATGGTTGTCTCATTAAAACATTTTAATTACAACAAACAAAATACATTTGTGCTTGCAGGGAACAATCGTTTACCAACTCAACCCCCCCCCCCCTTTCAAAGAGAAGCAAAATGTTACATTACACGTTTAAAACCTGAAAATAAAGCATTCCCACTATTTCTGCAGATCCCCCAGGAGGGGCTGAGCCCTGACTGCAACTCCCAGGCACTTGTGCAGGATTCAGGGAGGATTTGGCTCGCTGGGCCAGGACCCCACTGGTGCATGGGGACACTCCCTGTGCTGCCCCTGTGCTCCCCACCCCAGGCAGCCCCTGGCACACAGCCTGAGGCCTCACACTGGCCACAGGCAGGTAGGACACCAGGCCAAATCCTTTACACAGCCCTTGAGATGCTCCCAAGGTCTTTCCCTGGCAGCAGAACTGGCCCCTGCTCCAAAGGGGTTAATGCTGCCTCCCTGCAGGCTGAGATCCCTTTCAAACGTTGGGCTTCCAGGGCTGTCCATTAGGCAGCAGCCACAGCATCAGCCCCTGAGCCCCTGTGAGCCCCGGGCTGGGCACTGTAAGGTGACTCCAGCCGGGTGAAGGGTCCCAGGAGCACAGCACCGTATGTCCATCCCTCCCACAGCCCTCACCACACATCTGTCCCCAGACCAGGCTGGACAGAGGCCTCTGTGCCCTGCACCATGTCCAGACAAGCACAAGGAGACAAGCTGTCCCTCTGAACCATCTCCTGGTTTTCTACCTGCTTTTAAAACCCTTGCTGCATTCCCTGGGCATCTCCAGGGGTGAGGGGGCACGATCCTTCCTTTGCTCCTGCAGGGACCGGGTCCAGCTTTCTGCTCGGGGTGATGGCTTTGCCATCAGCCCTGTCAGCTCTCCAAATCTGGCTCAAGCACTCTCCACAGGCAGCTCTGCCTTCCCTTTCTGGCCGTGCTTTCGAACAATGAGGGAGCAAAACAGCAGTATTCTCCTGGCTCATTTGTTATTTTGCCACTCATCCCAAGAACTCATCATTAGTTCAAGACCTCTTGTAGTAATGTAACAAAAGAGAGTACACTGAGTTGCTGTAACAATGTGAATCTTAAAACCCGAAAAAAATTATGTACCTCTGACTTCTCTGAAGCATTCCAGTTGTAGGAGCAGTTTTACTGCTCATTTCCATGCTTGAAGAGTGATGCTAACACTGCTCTAATGACCAAAATCCTGGTTTGGTTAGAAATATGAAGCTGAATAACACGGATTTTTATTTACTTCTACAGGGTACAACAAACACTCACCAGGGAAAGGCATCTTCTCATGGTCTGGCTTTTTCCTTGAAGGAAAGAGTGCATCCCAAGAGCTGCAGGGAGCCTTGTGGCACATTTTCTCTAAAAGCCATTCCTCTACCTTTATTCATCAGTTCCTGCTTTTTCTGGAGTCCAGCCATGAGTGAGACCCCACGCACGATGTCTCAACATGAGGGCAGAGGAAAGAGCTTCATACTCCAGGCCTTGCAAATGTTAATTGTTTTGCATGGAAATGCACCCACGACAATTAGGATTTTGGATAAGCAGTTTGCCATCACTTATAAGGAAGGATGGGCTGATCCAGCTGTACTTTTGCAGTTTTCTTAGTGAAAATTCAATTTGAATCTTTTTCTCTCTCAATTTTTTAAGTGCTGTCTCTCAAAGCGAATGATGAAGTATTTCTGAAAATTTCCTTAGAGTTCAAAATATGAAATTTATATAATACAAGAGTGCAGCTGAGCCCAGCTACATTTACATTACGGTGAAAAAATTAATATCAAAGGCTAAAACTCAGAATAAGGTTATCACACCAGTGAGATGCTAGCAACACACTGTGTGTTTCTTGAAATCACTGGTCCTGTTTCGTTTTGGAATTTTTTTCTTTTCCTATCCCAGAAAACTTCACATAACTTCAGCAGCTGACTTCCATAGGAGCAGGCCCATAAGGTGTTAGAGCTATTATCTGTGTTGGCTGAATAATTTATCTGCAAAATTAGTAGACTGCCTGTGATAGAACTGGTTGAATTATTCATCGGGAATAAATTATCCAAGATATTTAGCACTTCTTTCTGTTTGCGAAGGCTTCCTGAAACAATTCTGGTTCTGTGAATGCATTCGTTATTCATAAGTACGCAGTGAATAGATTATGCAAACAAATTTCAGCCTATGGGTTGTTTGTGAAACATTCACTTCAGCCCTGGCTATTCATGGCTGTGACTGATCACAGAGACACATGGTGCTCTCTCCCCTCCTTGATTGGAGCACAAACTTTTAAAACAAGAGAATAACAAATGACAAACTGCAAATGATGGATAAGGACTAATGAATAATGCGCTTTCACTGCAAACTTTCAGACAAGTGATCGGTTGTGCCAAAGTCTGTGGAACTCTAGGGAATCATAAACATTTTAATGAATAAACTATTGACTGCTCAAAGACAACTAAACAAAAGACAATAAAAGTGTTGCAGACAACACTGGAGTTTATATCACTATATATAAAATGCACAGTGACAAAAGTTGAACACTTTTTGCCATATGCTTCCATAACCTTTAAATTTTGGTCCCTTCTGGCTTTCTGGGTAGCGCTGGAAACTCCACCGTCGCTCTCTGGCTGCTGACAGAGCCCTCTAATTGTGCCGTCACTTAAGGACATGAGTAACTCAGTGAAGTGGAACTGCTTAGCGCAGAAAGTCACTTATGTATGCAGAGGCCCTAAAAACATCAGCCTGATTGCAGGTCCGGTGATTGAGAGAGCCCAGTCCCCCCGGGAACAGCCAGGCCCCCCTCTGTCTCCTGCCGTACCTGGGTGTGCTGCACAGCCCTGCAAGCGGATAAAGACGTAAAAAGCAAAAAGAGAGCTGATCCTGCAAGCTCGGCCACTGCCAAACTACTTCTAGTTTGAGACTCGTTAATATTCATCACCCAGGGCTTTTTGGATTGCTCACTTCTGTGCGTGATCTTCTTGGCACAAAGAAGGTTGTTTGTGGCAGTTTGCTGGTGTCGTGGGTCATCGCAAAGCGAGGAGGGTGGAAAACAGAAATAATTCTCACAGGATTCCTCGCTCAGGTTCAAGAATGGTTGCTAAGAACTTAAAATGCAGAGATATACAATAATTTATGCTGTCAATTTTCCCTGTTTATCAAAGTCATAGGAGAAAATCAAAGGAGGGGAAATCTATATTTTGTCTAAGGGGAAGTCAGGTTAATACACGTGAGTTTAGGTATAGGCACCTGAAAATGGCTATTGATGGGCGGTGAAACTGAAAACCTTCCAGGGACACAAGTACCTGAGTGCTGACAATGGGGCTTCTTCCAAGCAGGGAGAGCAGGATGCAAAGAGCCAGATGTCAGAATTAGGAAACTTTTTAGCCACTTACAAAACTGTGGCTTCCCAAAATGCGAGATAGCGATACGCTAGCACTGAATGGGGACTAGCAGAAGCAGTAAGAACTTTACAATCAAAACAGCACAATTCTTTGTTTTTATCCAGACAAAGAAGAATTGTATCCGTGCATTGTATTTACAGTGTGTATATATGTATATACAGTGTATATGTATTGTGATTACAACCATCAAAGCTTGTAAAATAAATGTCTTTTGGAACTTTAAACTTTCTGAACACCTGCAAAATCCTTTTCAAAGCGAAGCACGTGAAAGCCAAAGCGCGTGTTGATATTCACCTGAGAAAGGCAGGAGGGAAATACCTGCTTTGAGTTTTATCATTTTAGAGCATTTTCACTTTAACGCGTGGGTGTGGAAAAACCGCAAGGTGCAACGAAAACCTGACAAATCTACCGCCCGCATCTGGCTGGGGAATAATCCACGGCTCATCCTCTGGAAATCCAGATTAACCTTTTTCTTTCCCCAAAAACCCCCTGCTCGCAGCGGTTTAAACTCACGCCGGAGCCCCTCCGGCCGGAGCGGGACGGTGACCCCTCCACCCCCGCGCTGAGCCGCGACCCCCCTGCCCCGCTTTGTCCTGCACACGGGGGGACAAAGCGGGGGGACCCCCCCTCTCTCCCCCGTCCCCCGGGGGCGCGGCAGATGCGCGGCCGCCCGCGGTAATTGCGGGCACGCTCCGGAGGGCGCGGCGCACGGGGCCGACCTGCCGCCTCGGCGCGGCCCCGCGGGGCGGCCACGGGGCCATTGTCCGCCCGCCGCTATAAGAGCGGCCGGCCGCGCCGTCGTGTGCCAAAGCCGCCGCTCACACGAGCGGATCGCAGCCCGCAGCACTTCAAAGCCACGCGCGGTCGCGTGTCCCCCCCGCCCCGCCTTTCCCCGGGCTTTGGCTTTTTTTTTTTTTTTTCGCCTTTTTTTTTTTTTCCCCTCCGGAGCTGTGTCCCCTGCTTTTCCCTATAGCGGCCGGCTCGGCTCTTTCCTCTCTGTGTTTTTGTACCGTTATTGCTTATCCTCATCCCCGGGAGTGCCTTTCCATGTGAGTACGGGAGAGCCGGCACCTGCCAAGCCCCCGCACCGCCGCCCTCTTCCTTGTATTTACTTTTTCTCCTTCCCCCCCACCCCTTCCCCGGCAGCTTCGCACCTTCCTCTCCGCTCCCCGCTCCACCCTGCCCTGGCAGTGACGGGGCTCCGGCTTCTCTCCCGCAGGATGCCCGCCGAGGCGCCCAGCAGCGGCGAGGGCGCGGAGCCCAGCGCTCCGCGGGAGCGGCGGAGGCGGCGCGGCCGTGCGCGGGCGCGGACCGAGGCGCTGCTGCACACGCTGAAGCGCAGCCGGCGGGTCAAGGCCAACGACCGCGAGCGGAACCGCATGCACCACCTCAACGCCGCGCTGGACGAGCTCCGCAGCGTCCTGCCCACCTTCCCCGACGACACCAAGCTCACCAAGATCGAGACCCTGCGCTTCGCCTACAACTACATCTGGGCCCTCTCCGAGACCCTCCGCCTGGCCGAGCAGTGCCTCCCGCCGCCCCCCGCCTTCCGCGGGGCCGCCGCGCCCCCCAGCCCCGGCAGCGACGCGGGGTCCTGGCTGTCCAGCGCCTCCCCGTCCGCCCCTTCGCTCTGCGCCTCCGCCTCCGGCCCCAGCAGCCCCGCCACCTCCGAGGACCCCTTCCCCCCGACCCCCACCTCGCCTCCCGCTCCACTCCGAAAAACGGGGAAGAAGAAAAGCGACAGATTTGCTGCCGCAGACGAGGTGAAAAGTCAATTTTACAATTTGTAGCTCTCCAGCGAAGAAAAACGAGCATGAAAATTTGGTTTGAACGCCCTGACAATGCCATGAAAAGGCTTAAGGGGCCGATGCGGCCCGGGGCGCAGCGCGGGGCTCAGCGCGTCTCCCCGGCCCTGCCCCGGGGCGGCTCAGCCCCTCCCGGGGGTCCCAGCACCGGCCCCGATGGGACCCCGCACCCGGCGGACAGCGGAGAGGCTCATGCATTATAGATGCTGACCCCCAGCGCGGCCGGCCTGCTTTAGACTGGGAGCAGACACGGGGTATTCAGTGACTGGACCAGAGAGCGGTTTAATTTATTCAAGATGTTCATTCATATGAAAATTGTATTTTTGTACATAAAGAGCTTTATTCTATTATTATACCTCTTATCGAAGTGGGGGTTTTGTTTTGGTTTGGTTTTTTTGGTTTTTTTTTTTTTTTTTTTTTTAAGAAATCGTACTTTACCCTGTAAATAAAATTTTTAACGTTTGTACTGAATTTTGGTAGCACCTCTGAGTTTTGTTTCTTGGACTCGAGGGGTTCACTCCTCAGAAGGAGGCTGGGGTGGAAGGGCAGGGATCACCCCAAGGCAGCAGCCAGCACTTCTGACAACCCGCAGCTACCTGCAAACACCTGCTGGCCCCAGTGTCCCCAGAGGGGATCAGAGCAGGAGCACGGCGGGACGCCAGCAGTGCCTGCCCCTGCCCTGGTGCCCAGCAGAGCTGCAAGGTGCTTTGGGGCAAGGAGAAGGTGCTGAACCCCTGAACAGGGTACAGAGCTTGTAGCTTGCCTTGAAGCTGTGGCACTGACAGAACTTAGTGCCTCCTTTCCTCAAGGCACATGGTGCGACAGAGGCTCTCCCAGTTCACTCACAGGCAGGGAAAGGAAAAAGAGTGGCCAAAGGTGTCATGTCATGGTCTCGGCACCAGCTGTGGCACAGCTCTGGCTCTCAGCTAGAGACTGAGGGCATCAAAAGTACCCTCATCGCCAGGAAATCTGCTCCACCACTGCAAAATCCCAAACTTTCCTTTCTCCTGCAATTGTGTGCAATGGGGGAGCCCTCTGACCCCCAAAATCCTACCTTCTACTCTTCCTGACTCCATCCTCCCTCTCTTTAGTGTTGCTCAATGCTCCCATATTGCACTGGGCACACAGACCCTTAAAAACACGTTTAATCCCCTTGGCCTAGTTTTATGGGGCAAATGAGGCAGCTCAGACGTGTCTCTACAGCCATCTCCAAAACATGGGTGAGTTGGAACTGTACGTGCAGGTAGCAGAGAGTTTGTGGGGAAAGATGGAGAGATGGTGTTGTACAAACCCAAATATATCAGATCTCTGATGGGACTGCCATGGATTGTGGAGTGAATTGACTTTCATTTCTCTGTGCCTCAGTTTCCCATCTGCAAAACTGGGGTAACACCATCCCCTCATCAGTGAATTTAAGAATTTAATTATGCAGAGCTTTCAGAGCACTCAGATATTCAGGGATGTAGTAAAACCTCAGGAAGGAATTCTTTAGGACATGATCATACATGGTGTGAGGAAAAAGGCAGAGGGCAAACACTGCAAGCATCAGACAGAACACTGAGAAGGGTTCATCACACCGGCATAACTCTGCCTGAAAGTTAACCCTCCTGTGGGAAGGTGGAGATATCATCAAAAACGTAATTTGGGATCGTATAATTGTCATAAAAATTAGAAGGAGAAGAGCTGAATTATGTTTGCACAAATACTTCAGTGTCAGCATTTCCTCCTTTGTGAGTGCCAGAGCCTGTAATATAGACAAATATTTCTTTAACACACTTTTCATATGCATGTCCATACAGACACACATCCACCTCTGCTTCTCAATAAATATAAATGCTGAAAAGTGTTATTTTTTTTAAATCCTAATAGCAGCATAATACTTATATTAATTAAAGACACCATCAACCAGTATAGGGCAGTTCCTTAATGATGTCCTGTTAAATAAAAGAGATTTTTGAAATCTAATTCTGGCAGTAACAGGTCTTAATCTGTGACGCAGTGAAGCTTTGCTTGCACCTGCCCTTGAAAGCCAGGAGGTTTTGTATGCAGGAGCCTCCAGGGGCTGAAATTTAGTACAGTCCATGGAGGCGGAAGGTCATCTAAAGTCACTGGGTCCCAAGACACTGGACTTCAATCTCAAAGAAGAAAAAAAAAAAAAAAAACTCCACAAAACTTCAAAATATCCTCTATTCTTTTGTGTTTTCTTAGCTGCCAGCAGAGATCTATGGACATTATGCAGTATATAAAGACCATACATCTAGCAGGACTCAGTGTATGATGTTAATGTTCCTAATGGGCAATGAAAGCTGCAAATTGCGTGAGGACACAATTAGATTCATACATTAACATGAGTCAGAGAACAGTTTTTCCCCGGAGCGCTGATAGGTTCAGACATAGTTGAACAAATCTGCCGCCGGGACAGATGGAATGCCCATATTCAGAGGCTGCAGGACCAACCTGCACCCCCGTTTACAACAAGGGGGTTTGTATTTATTTTTATCAAAAGAATAGTTTGGTGAATTGGAACAGGCTTCCCCGGCTGGAAGCAGGAGGCTATTTTTAATTGCACTAAAATAATCTCCTTGCATTAGTACAGGGGGGGAAATACGTGAATTAAATACTAGGGCTGATGAAAGCATTAGCAAATTTTTTGGAAACACCAGATTGTTCTGTGGTAAAAAATATCTGTAAATAGGCCACAGTCTCAGTCCCACTGAAACCAATGGCAAGATCCTTACTGAAATATTCAGAAATAACTGAAATAGAATCTGGATTTTTAATCCTGGCACCACATTGCATGTGTGCATATGCATTTTTTCATGTCTGCAGATAGGTGTAGGTAGCACTTTAGCCCTGTTGGAACCACTCAGCCACCTCCAGGGCATGCAAGCATTAGGGACCCTCTGCCAGGAGGTTCTGCAAGTCCTTAGGTCTCTCTTAATTCCCCTTTAGTTAGGAGAGAAAGTCTGAGATGGCTCCATTGATAGGGATCCCTGCTGGCTGGGAGATATCCAGCACAGACTTTGTCGAAACACAGCTGGGATTATCCCACTTTCTCTCTGCTAGGATTTACCGGGGAAACCTTCCCCTACCAAGATGCTTGTGTGCTCTGAGGAGAAGGGCCCACAGCAGCTGGAATTACTCTGTTTCAGCCTTTTCCAACAGATTTGAAGCTCTGGAGATTCTCTGTGAATTACCTGTGCTCAACAAGTGAGCAAATAACTGCAAATGCAAAATTCTGTACAGGTTTTAGATTAGAAGTATTTTCTGTAGTTTCAATGCCATGTGATGCCCTACTTAGTGTCATACTTAACGTGGTGAGGCTCAAATGATGCTTACTTAGTGTTTTATTATGAACAAGAGCATCCTCAGAAGGAGTTTCATTATTAGCCCTCAATCTGTCATAGATTTGGATTTTACTCTGTACATGATCTGTAAAATACAGTCTGCACTACCACTTCTGAGCTCATGAAACTTAATATTATAATTACAGATCTCTGGGGCTCAAATGCTCTGTTAAGACTGATTTGTATAGTAAGTGGAGATTATCAGAGCACAAGCAGGTGAGAAGCAATTTTCAGGAGCTTTTTTTGTTGGTGGCACATGCAATTAAGAGAAGTCATCTGGAGGAGCAGAGCTGCTAAGGACCAAGCAGATTTACTGTCAGCACTGTATGTGAGCAGAACAGAGATGCAAAAATATTGCATAAAAACTTTCAGCTGACACTTTACCTCTTACTTGTATAGTCTGCAAATAACACTGCTAGAAGCTTTTTAAATCTAGATTAACAAATTAAGTGACTCATTAGAACCGGGGTTTTGCCCACTAGCCCAGTAGCAGTGCCCATGAACAACTAATCCCTGTTCTCTCTTCCTCCTCAGCCAAAAGACCTAATGGTTTCTGTGAAGAGCTGCTGAAGACCCCACAGATGTCACAGGGCCGTGGTGAAGTACCAGATCCCTTTAAAAGCCCTGTGGGACCCAGCCTCGTTATTGATGGCCAGGGCAGTGAGGAGAGAGGCTGAGCTGAGGGGTGAGGCAGCCATGCCCCTGCAAGCAGGGCTTCCCCCGTGCTGAGGTTACTGCTCCCTCCGAGGGACGGCAAAGGGCTCACGTGAGGCACTGCTGCTGCAGACCAAGGCTCCACACGCCCAGCAGTGCTCCTCCATTATCATCACTATTATTTTTCACTTGTCACTCTCCCAGTTTAAGATCCACTAGACAAGAGTGAAAAGACTCTTCCCAATGGATAATGCTCTTCTCTGCCAGCGTGGAAATGTTGATGGCACAGCACTTGTTATTCAGGTCTCCCACTTTTGCCTCTATCTGACTTTGCTAAGTTAGAACCTCTCATCTTACTGCTGGAAAATCTTACTAAACTCATTTGAAAAGGAAAATTAAATATCACATTACAGAGGTAGGGACAGAGATGCCACCCTCCTCTATGACATGTGTATGATTCCACAAGTACAAGAAACTCTTCTCACTCAGCTCCTACCCCATTTGTTTTACTCATTGGCTGCCAGTAGGACTTCGGCAAAGGTCAGTGGGATTTTGGAAAAGGTCAGCAGTTTGGAGCACAAAGCATAACTCTGAAGAGAGTAAAAACTTGTGGAAGCAAGACTTTTAGAGAAGAGATTAACTTTATTCTTTGAGTAGTCATGAGTTCACAGACACAAACTTGTATGCACTCTGCCAAATGGAAGTGTTGAAATCAAGTCCAGAAATTTGTCATCCTGACACAGAAATTGGAAAGAAAATGCTTTGGGTGTCTCACTAACATCCCTGCTCGAGTTCATTCATTTAGTTGCTCTATTCAGCCCTCTGATCCCTTGTGAAATTTCAGTCCAAGAGATTCATTGTGCTAAGGAGAAGGACCTGCCTGTGTGAGTGCATGGCCTCCCTTCCACTCTTCCTTCATGCTTGTGGGATGTACTTAATTACAAATTGAAGCATCTGAGGTGACTGATGCCTCTATTTCCCAAA